GGGAGTGTGTGTGGGGGTGGGGAGAGACAGGGGCGGCGGGCCAGAGGCCTCTTCCCCCTTCCCCACGCGCTCGTCAACTTTGCAGAGTGCTGGGGCCTGTGGAGTCCGGGATGGATTGTGAGCCCCACGGGTGGTCACACCAGTGGGATTTGAATCCCGGCTGGGGAACAGGCCCTGCAGATGGGTGATGTGCAAGGTTGACCTCAGGGCTGGTGTAGATCCGCTGTCCGGGGCATGGAGTTACTTCTCGGAAATCTTTGGTGCTGTGTTTCGGAAAGCAGAATTTTTCCGACTTGAGGAATTTGGGGTTTGGGACTGTGATGTTTGATCAGACCCAGCACTGCTTAGCATAGCGGCTGTCAAGACAGAGCTCCCGGTCTGGTCCCACCAGGAAGGGAAACTTTTGCTTTGGGAGCCCTCTTGGTTTGAGAACGGCGGGCAAGGCAGGGCAGACCTATGCTCTCCTGGTCCTGGTGAGGAGGGGGAGAGGCGATGTGTGGGGTACGGTGGCTGCTCAGGCTGGTTAAGTGTTACTCTTGGTGTGTGGCTGCTAGGTGCTGGCCCTGTGTTGGGCTCTGGTCCGGCAGAAATGAAAACAGGTCTTCAGACTGACTCTGATCTCCGGTGCCACAGAGGCCCATAGAAGAAAAGGTACACACACCGGGAAGCTGGGACTGGAAGTCTGGTCCGACCAGGGGCTGCACTGAGTAGTTTATGTCTTGGCTCAGCGTGGGTGGGTGACGTGGAGGGCAGGACTGGCTGGCCATTCTCTTCCATCAGAGGCCTTCACTGGGATGGGCTGCAGTAGGCCCTGTGTTGCGCCAGAGGGTGTAGGTGTCAGGGTGCCAGACTTCACCCACCAATTCCTGCCTTCTGCCGGGTGGCCGAGTCCAGAGCATTCTTAGAGACCTAATTCTCCTTCTTCAGGGAACGTGTAGGGAAAGTGAGTCCTCACGGAGATGCTTGTTGGCCTCGCGGTTTGCAGGCAGAAGTCATATCTGGGGTGATGGGATGGGTGTCCTGGCTGGCTTCCCTTCTGGGAGCTGGGGGACCTTTAGGCAGCACCTCAGCAAGCCTTCCCAAGAGCTGCCAGGTTTGCACTGTTGCTTCTGCCTCGTCCTGCGGAGCTCGTGGAGATCTCGAGGTAGCCATGTGTTCTGTTGTCTTGTTTTGCTTGGAGCCCTGTTGAGTGCTTTATTTTTGAGACAGGGTCCGATATATAGTTCAGGCTGACCTCAAATTCTTAGCAGTCCTCCTGCCTCCACCTCCCAAATGCTGGGATTACAGGTGTGCGCTACTGTGCCCAACTGTTGATGGCATTTGATTTGACTTTCTCAGGAGCTGCTTGGTGCCTGACTCCATGCTCGGCCCCGGGGGCCCTGCCTTGTGGGGATTTAGTCTGAACTGATCATCAGGGACTGCCAAGGGCGCTGAGCCTCGGCAGCCTGTGTCCCAGCGGCCTTTCCCACCCTGGAATCTGTGCGGCTGAAGGAATCAGCCTCGGTTTTCTCATCTCTACCGTGGGCAGTGGCGCTTAGCATCCTAGAGCTAAAACGGCTGTCCTATTCTTGGCACGGTGGCTGGCAGGTAGAGGGTGAGCCTGTGAAACTGCTGGTATTTAGCTGTTTTTAACTCCTAGAAGTGGCTGTGTAACCTGATGGTGCTTGGTGTTTATTAGCATCTTCCCTGTAGTATTTCTCTGCCAAGGTAATCATTGCCACAGAGGAAGACAGAAGTGCATCATCATGGTCTCGTACACACTAGGTTAATCTTTACAAATCTGAGTGCACCACCTTCCCCTCTTGTGCAAAGCCCACATGTCACTGCTTGTCACTGCTCTTAGGATGAAACACATCTCTCTCCCCTGCCCCCTGCCCCCTGCCCCATGGCATGATCTCCAGTGACCCTCTAGCCCCTGGTTCCTTCTGTTTTCCAGTGCGCTCTGCTTAGGAGCTCTTCCACCTCTCTCTGTCCCTGGCCCCAATCGCACAGCCCCATCCCATCTCCTTCGTTCCCGTCTGATTTCTCCTCTCAGCTGTGTACACATCCACCTGTGTGCTGTCTGTCCTAGCTGGACCGGCGAATCTGCGTGGGTAGAGACCAGCAGAACCTGTTTCTCAGGTGGCCCATAGTAGATGCTCATGGAGGAGGGAGGCTGGGGCTGGGGTGTCTGGCCGCCCTCCTGGGCAGGATGTGGGTGAGGAGGAGGAGAGGACTGGGAGAGGGGGTCATTCCCGTGCCCTGTCCTTCCTTTTTGATCACCAGCTCTGAGCTTCTGCACAGAGTAGGAGCTGCTTTATTCCTATCTTCTGTGGTGCTCAAGGTTAATGGGCTTGGCCAGGCAGTTCTCCCTCAAGGTCCTTCCCATGACTGGTCTGGAGTGTGTGAGGCGGCTTCCTCCCTTGTTTCTGGCTGTGGCTGGGACACCTGCACGTGGCCTGTGTGGCTTGGGCTTCCTCACGACATGGCAGCCACGTTTCAGGAGCGGCTGGCCCAGCAGATGCCAGATGGAAACTGTTTGGCATTCTGCACCCAGCGTTAGGAGCCAGACGTGATCCCTTCTCGCACAGCCCAGGCCTGGTGGAGGGGACCCCCAGTCTTCATGCCAGAGGGAAAGCATGGTGTGGGAGGTGTGGATGTGACTACCTCGGAGAGTGGGATCTGCCATGCACTGTTTTGAGTTCAGCTTTGCAAGGTGGGGGCAGAACTTGGGTGCTGCCCTAGAAGGGCTGTTCTGTGCTCTGTATTCAGGCCTGCTCCCCTCTTTGCCTCTGTTGGCCTTCCACCCTGATGGAGATGTCTGATGTGGTAGAGGGAAGTCAGACCTGGGGACTGAACATTTAGGGTGGAGGGGAACTGGGGAACTGGGGAACAGGCTGCTTGGGTGTCCCCCTTGGCTGATGGCCTAGCTCTCTACTTCTCTGGTCCTGAATCTCGTTAGATGGCAGCTCAGACGACCACGACCTCACATCCCGAGGGGACCCCACACCGTTGCTCTCATTCTTCCCGGACAGTGGTCCTGTGGGTGCTGTTAACTTGTCATCCAGAATGTGGCCTCATTTGGTGACAAACACCCACCTCCCCCGCCATCCAGGCTCTTGGTTGTAGGAACAGAGAGCCCCTTCCTGCGGGTAGTGGTTTCCCAGGAGCCCCTCTGCCCGCCACCCTGAGGTCCTGGAGGGCACCAGGGTGTTCTCCATGGGTTCACAATGTGTGTGGCTTTGCAGAGTGGCCTGTGGGGCTGACAGCAGCCTGGTTTCCAGGAAGGAAGTAAGGCCGCCCGGCTTCAGTACACCAGGGCACAAGGCTGGAGATACCCTGCGGCCCCAGGTGCTCTGGGCCCCCTCAGCTGTCCCTGCAGTTTCTCTCGCTTTGCTTCTCACTGCCCTCTGCCATGTGGGGTGCACGGTCTGGAGCAGGTCTCGTGTCACCCCTCCTTAGAACCTTGGGGGCTCCTGCCTCCGCTTTGAGGGGACACCTCTCTGCCTCCAGCTCCACAGCTGGGTGTGGAGTTGTGCAGTGTGAGGGTACTGCCCTGCCCTGCTCTCACCCAGGGCGTGCCCTGCTCACAAATAGTTCTTCGTGCTTCTGAGAGCAGGCATGCGGCTGACAAGAGTTTTTTTTGTTGTTTTTTTTTAGCAGGGATCGAACTCGGGTCCTTGTGCTTTTGAGGCGTGTGGTGGAACCACTAAGCTAAATCTCCGGCCCCTGACAAGGGTTTTTGAGTCACAGGTCTGACTTGAGTTTGTAGTTGTACTGCATACTTGCTGTGTGAGTATAGTTAAGTGACTCAACCTCTCTGAGCATTGGTTTCTTCGTTTCTCTAATGGAGCGGATATGTTTACGACTTGTAAGGTTTGCTTGAGGACCCAGTATCTTACTTACGTTTTTATTTTTTATTTTTTATTTTTTTGTGGTTCTGGGGTTCAAACTCAGGACCTTGTGCTTGCGAGGCAGGCACCATGCCACTGAGCTAAATCCCTGGCCCAGTATTTTACTTTTTTTTTGTGGTACTGGGGATTGAACCCAAGAACATTGGGAAACTTAAGGGACCCCGAATAGCCAAAACAAACTGAGCTACATTCTATCCCCATTGTATACTTTGTTATTTTGACAGAGGCTTACTAAGTTACTAAGTTACAGCTGGGCTGTAAGTTGTGCTCTTCCTCCCTCAGCCTCCTAGGTGCTGGAGGGACAAGTGCGCAACACCTGTGGCGTTTAACCTTAGTGTTTTTAAATATTCTAATCTACTTTCTTGGGAGACATCAGCTTTATTGAGATATAATTCGTTTATCAGGCAGTTACAACCATTTGGGATGTGTGTAGTTCAGTGCTTTTTAGTGTTTGCAAGCTTGTGTAACTAACAGTCAATTTTTAAATATTTTCATTGTCTCTAAATAAGCTCCTGTCAGCCATGAAACTGCTTTTTTCTCTGTGGCTTTGCCTGTTCAGGACATTTCATGTGAAATGAATCCCACGTCATGTGGCTTGTGCTGTCAGCTTCTCTCCCTGAGCTTGGTATCTTTGCTTTGGTACTGGGGCTTGAACTCAGGTCCTTGCATTTGTAAGGCAGGTGGTGGAACCACTGAGCTAAACCCCTGTCCCTGAGCTTGGTATCTTTGAGGTCCTTTTACCTCCAAGCATATCAGAACTTCCTTCCTTTTCCTGGCAGAGTGTGATGTTTTTGCTTTGCTGTACATCAGCTGATGGACGTTGTAGTTATTTCTAGTTTTTACTGTTATGAATAATCCTCTGGCAATCACCCATGGGTAGGTTTTGGTGTATTTCTCTTGACAAATTCTGGGCCACATAGGGAGGGGCACTTTTGTGGGGGATACCTACCGACTGTGACCCAGCAGCAGCACATACCCGACAGCACTGTGAGGGCTCCGATTGTCCTCATTTTCATGCCAGTACTTGTTACTGTCTGTGTTTCTGATCACAGTGGCTCTGTGATTGAGAAGTGGTGTATAAGTGCTGTTTTTCTGTAGTGCAATGTTCAGGCATGGTTTCATGTGCTTATTGGGCATTTGTGTGTCTTCTTTGGAGGAATGTATGATCAGATCCCATGCCCAATTTATATTGGGTTGTTTATCTTTTTTTTTTTTTTCAATACCAAGGATCGAACTCAGGACCTTGTGCTTGCAGTGCAGGCAGCAGAACCACTGAGCTAAATCCTCAGCCCTGTTTATCTTTTTATTGTTGAGGCATAAGAGTTGTTTGTATTCTATAAGTCCTTTACCAGGTACATGATCTGCAAATATTTTCTCCCATTCTGAGTTTTCTCTTTACTTTCTCAATAGTGTCCTTTGAAGCACAAGTTTTCAATTTTATTTCACTTCTTTTTTAAATAAAAATGATTTTACTTTAAAGTCCTTCCTCCCCAGCAACCAAAACAAACAAAATCAATTACACAGATGTCTTCTGAGGAAATTGTCTGCCTAAAACTTTGGAAGGGGGACTGGCCTGGTGAAGGCTCTTAAATCTCGCAGACATCATTTCCATTTTAAATGTATAAGAACTTAGCTAAATACTGAAATGTCAGTGGCATTATTGCTTTAAGAGCAATTCTGGAAATTATGAATATGTTATGAAACATTTTCTTTTTCATTAAGTTTATTGGTATATTTAAGGTAAACAATACAGTTACAGTCATCATTGGATTTTGTAACTTTACATGTTGTATCTATCTTGGTTCTTATTTTTTTCCCCAATCCCCTGCTCTCCCTTCACCCCCTTCACCCTTCACTGTTTACGAAGGCTTTGTTTCCATTTTTTTCCTTTATTCATATTTTTTCTTTTCCTTTATTTCCTCTCCCCTACCCTTCCCACTTCCCTTTCTCTACATATTTTCTTCCTATTTCACACTCTCAATTATACCATTTGAACCTTATTTACACTTTTAGTTTTTCATACCAGAGAAACTATTCAGTATTTGCTCAAGTGTGTCCTATTAATTTCACTTGAGTATGGCCTTGATATGCATCCATTTAGCTATAAATGGCTCTAGTTTCTCATTCTGTATGGCTGAGTAGCACTCCATTTTATAGAAAACCCACATCTTCTTTATCCAGTCCCCAGTTGATGGGCAGTTGTGCTGTTTCCAAGTTTTAGCTGTTACAAACTGTGCCGCTGTAAACATGGGTGCACACATTGGATTTTAGTGTCATCTAGTTTATCTATACAGAGAAACTTCAGTATTTGCTCAAGTGTGTCCTATTAATTTCACTTGAGTATGGCCTTGATATGCATCCATTTAGCTATAAATGGCTCTAGTTTCTCATTCTGTATGGCTGAGTAGCACTCCATTTTATAGAAAACCCACATCTTCTTTATCCAGTCCCCAGTTGATGGGCAGTTGTGCTGTTTCCAAGTTTTAGCTGTTACAAACTGTGCCGCTGTAAACATGGGTGCACACATTGGATTTTAGTGTCATCTAGTTTATCTATTTTTTTTATGTTGCTTATATTTTTTTGTGTCTCACTTAAGAAATTACTGCCAAATCCAGGGTCACGGTTACCTATCCTTTTTAAGTTTTTTCATAGAGTTTTATCGTTTTAGCTTTTATTTATTTATTTATTTATCTTTTGGGGGTCAAGGTCTTCCGTCTGTTGCAAGTTAATTCCCGTATACGGTGCGCAATGCGGTCCAACTCCGATCTCTGCCTGTGGGTATCTGGTTGTCCGGGCACCATTTGCTGAAAGCCATTCCGTTCTGTGCTGTGCTCTGTTGGCACTGTTCTCAAAGTCCTTGTGGCGTGGATGTGTCTTTTGACTTGTGGGGACTCTCAGTTGTGTTCCCCTGGTTTTCGTGCCTGTCCTCATGACGGCACCACACCGCTCTGATCACAGTGGCTTTGTGGTAAGTTTTGAAATTGGGAGTGTCCTATTTCGGCACTGCTTTAGCTACTCTGGGTCCCTTGAGTTTCCCAGTGAGTTTTGGAATCTGCTTGTCGATTTCTGCAGTCCTGGGGTTCTCATCGAGGGGGCTCTGACTGGGTCACCACGTGAGGGCCCTCTTAGTGTTGTTTTCTCAGCCAGGAGCACAGGGTGTCTTTTCATTTGTGTAGGTCTTTATTTTTTCTCAACACCACTTTGTTTTAAGAAATATACTTTTTACTGATCTCTTGACTCTACTACTGTGATTGGAATTCTTTTCTTAGTTTTTGAGGGTTACCCAAGCTAGAAGGTAAAGTGGATTTCTGTATGTTGATCTTGTACTGTTCTGCACCTCGCTACCCTCGTTTATTAGTCTGAGTAGTTTTTCGTTAGGATTTTACTGTGTATATACAAGATAACTTTGCCAGCGAAGAGCTAGCTTTAGTTCTTCCTGACCCAGCAGATTCTACATACCGACCCAGTCCTTGAGGACAGAATTAGCTGTCCCCAGGGTCACCCAGGAGCCACCCAGGCTGCCGAAATAACCCTGCCTCTTCCTCCACAGGCCTCCTCGCTGGGGAGGCAGAGTCCTCGCGTGGCTTCCTGCCTTGCTCACAGCCTGTGCCCCCGGGAGCCCAGCTTGCAGACGACAGCAGGTACCTTCCTCGCCCCTGTCCTCCTGCCCAGGGCCACCATGGCCTTCACACTTGTGGGAGGCAGGGACCTCCACGTTGCCCGGCTGAGCCAGGGGCAGGTGCCTCTGCTCCCATAGTCGAGAGTGGCCCTGCTTTTGCCTCCTCAGGCAGAGTGGTCAGGAACATGCCTGTTCTTGTTCCAGCGAGGACTAGAGTTTGAATCTCAGATAGGTGGAGGGGCATGGGCTGGACGGGAGACACCCCCATCCCTGCAGCTCCCCTGAGCTGGCTGCTTGTCTGATTGGGATCAAGTCCCCAGCCTCTCCCGAGGGATCATGAGAACTACTTGGTGCTGGGGGTAGTTTCTTTGAGAGGATCTACTGCAGGCAGGTGCGCGGCTGTCTCTTTGGGCTGCCTGGTCTCTACCCTGCCCTGCCCAAGGCCCCTGCTTGGCCCCCAGCCCCGGCGTGGGGATTGGTAGAGCCCGGGCTATTTCCTCTTTTTGCTGCTTGTTTTGCGTTTGACTTACTGAAGACCAGCTGTGGGGAGACAGCTGTGAGCATCCTTACTGCTGGCTGCCCCCTTTCTGTGGGCTGTGGCTGTCACAGGCTTCTTCGTGCCACTGCGTTGTAGTCTGCCAGACCCTTCCCTACCAAGACCTGCACAGTGTGGCCTGTATTCTGGGCACAAAGGCCTTGCTGTGCTGTGCCCAAACCTGGGCAACCAGGACTGGCCTGGCACCTGAATCTCCACTCCTACCCCCTGACTATTGCTGCCCATCCCCCAAACTTTGAAGCTTCTTTTTTTGGTAGTGGGGATTCGAACTCAGGACCTTGCACTTGCAAGACAGGCACTGAGCTAAATCCATGGCTTCTGTGCTTGAGGAAGACCCAAGTGTCCCCCAGAAAGAAGCACATGTCCCGCATCCCTGCAACAGCACGTGCATCTTCCCCCTGCTCCTTGGCATCCCTGTTGCCATGGGTTCCCTCGATTCCCCATGTGGGAAGCCGGCCCTGCTGATGAACTGCTTAATGTGTGTCATGGGCTTCGTCCCTGAGGACAGCAGGGCCACCGTTGCCTCCCCTCCCCTAGACGTCCATGTCTGCTTGGTGGCCAGGCACAGGCAAGGTGGCCGCTCACCACACCCGGGCCGGGCTCTTTTCCACAGTGGTGTCCATGGGCTCAGCAGACCAACAGTTCAACCTCGCTGAGATCCTGTCACAGAACTACAGCCTCCGGGAAGACTGCGCTGCGGGCTCCAGGGGCCCAGACAAGCCTGCGGAGGAGCTGGCCAAGGACTTCATCTCCCAGGTGTGTGGGACAGCGTGTCCGGGCTCTGCTGTCAGGCTAAGACTGTGTGCAGAGAGCTGGGAGTCCTCCCGGAGCCGTTGCCTTCTTCTGTATTGCAAGTCAAATGGAGGCATTTAAAGGATAGCATTTACTAATTCAGTAAGACACGAACAGTAGGGCCGGGGTGCAGCTCGGGGTGCACCGGGGTGACGAGTGCTTGCCTTGCATGTGCAAAGCCCTGGGTTCCATTCCTAGCACCACAGAAACAAAGCAGGAGCAAAGCAAATACATGTTAATTTGAAGATGAAAAAATTGTGTCCCAAAACAGGAGAAGCGGGGGAGGGGATTGTGCATCTCCCACATCTCTGGGTGCGGTGTGTCTGCCCTTCTGTTGGAGGTGTTATCAGCCCCGAAGACCTGGTGCCTTTTCAGGGAGTTGTCCCCCAAAAGCCAGCAGTCGGTAGTTCCCTGAAGAGTGGTCATGTCTGAGGCTGTGCCCAGGAACTTTCTGTCCTTGGTTCTGGTGAAGTTGGCCGAGCACTAGCCACGTGAGACACAGCAGCTCTGCACGGGTGTCGCTCGTGGCGCCTTAGTCCCTGACATGCAGATCTTCCAGTGTAAAGCTAAAACCTCATTCGTGAGTGTCTGATCTGCTAGGGGCTGCCGTGGTGTGACTCCTGAGACTGGGTGGCTTTAGCAAGAGACCTGTGATTTTTTCATAGTTCAACGCTATAAAGTCCATGGTGCAGCCAGCAGCATGGGTTTCTTGGGCGGCTCTTTCTGCCTTCTGCAGCCAGTGATAGAAGCTCCTGGCGTCTCTGGAGGACGCTCGTCCTGTCAGAGCAAGGCCCCGCCCTTGTGACCCATGCCCTCCTGCACTTTAATTCCTCCCGTGCCGGCCTTATCTCCACGCTCAGGCTGGCCTGGGGTAGGGTGTTCCCTAACAAGTTGATTCCCACCAGTCTCTTCAGAAGTTTGCTGAGTACGGAGGATTTACCGTAGCAAGTTGGGGGGTTAGACCCAGGTTTTCTAAAGTTCCACACGGCATGAAAGCAGGAGTCTTGATGAGGTAGCACGTGCAGTGAGTTTTCCCTGGCTCACATTGGCGGCGGTGTCCCCACAGTGCTGTAGGGTGGCCAGTGTCCGAGGCACGAGTGGCTCCCCGCACCTCTCCTCCCACACCTGTGCCCTTTGAGCGGCTGTCTCACCTGATGTCCAGCAGGGGGCGTACGTGTCTTCCCTTACCCACACAGCAAAGTAAAACCTCTGCTCCAGTGGGATTTCCCGCAGTCCCCAGTTCTGTCCAGGGTGTTTGTATGTGTCAGGGGTACACAGTGACAGGTTGTGTGCTGTGCTGCGTCCATGCCGGCTTCTTGCCCCCCGACGCTGCAGCAGTGGCCCAGGTGTCGTTGCAGGAGAGGGTGTGGATAGTGTCGTGGGGCTGCTGCAAGGGTGGCCCAGGGACCGGGTGTTGGCCATTTTCCATCCTCACAGCACATGCGCCACCGGGACTGGGTCAGCGCGGGTTGTCCCTCACACGGGTCCTGTGAGAGCTGTCTGGTGGTTTTCCCGTGGACCTGAGATGAGTCCGGGGATGAGGCAGGTGCTGACCCCTGCGGGGGCTTCCAGGAAGTTGGGAGCTGATGTCGACCCACAGGGGTGAGGATGGAGTACAGCAGGCACAGAGTAACCCGCGAGGAGAGCAGCTGTGTGTGTCCCCTGCTCCCCTGGAGCCTAGGGCTCGCCCTGCTATGTGGCCTGAGCCTGTGACTGCTGCCGCCAGCGGTGCTCCGGCGTCCAGGCCCTGCAGGGTTACCCGCATGGCTGTTATTGTGGCAAAGTACCTGTCTGTTAACTTAGTAAGGCTTTTCTTTAGAATCAGGTCTGGGTTTGGATTTTACCAAATCCTTTTTGAGATCATCTCTCCACCTTCTGTCTGTGGAGGTCCTGCGTTGCTGTGGCTGAGTGCCAGGGGCCAGGGCGTCCTTTTGTTCTTAGAGTCAGCCCCGTGCAGCACACTGGGCCTGGGGAGGGCTGCGTCCAGATGCGTCTTGCCCCCTGGCTGGTGGCCTTTGGGCTCTGATTCCCCTCCTTGCCCATCCTGCGCTGCAGAGAGCTCTGGGTGGAGGCTGGCCAGGTGGCACCGCCCTGTGGGGCACATGTGTGGGGTCGACACTGGCCCTGGTTGTGGTGGCCAGCGAGGCTCAGAAGGATGAGCCCCTCCTGACAGGGCCCCGTGTCCGCCTGTCCAGAGCAGTGACATGCCCCTGGACGAGCTGCTCGCGCTGTATGGCTATGAGACGTCAGACCCCACCTCAGAGCGTGAGAGCGAAGGTGGTGACACGGCCCCTGCCCTCCCAGACATGACTCTGGACAAGGTGAGTGCCAGTCTGTCCTGCGGCTGTCTCAGCAGAGCCCCTGGTCACCTCTGGGCGGAGGGTGGGGTCAGCAACGAGAGGCACTGGGGCCTCAGGAGATGGGACGTGGTCAGCAGGGTGACGGTGGCCGCGGGGGTGGTTGGTGTCGTGGTGTGGGTAGAGGGAGGGGCAGACCCAGAGGCTGCCCTGGGCAGTGCGGCAGGGAAGGAGAAGCAGCCCTGAGGTCCGGTGTTGTCTTTGTGAGGACTCAGCGCCCGGTGTGCCGCGGAGGGCGCCGGCTGCCCTGTGGGTGGTTGGGTAGATACGGGCTTCACAGCTCCCTGTCCCCTGCTGTGCTCTCCGTCCCTGCAGCTCCACGTCTTGTCTGCAGAGGGAGTGACGGCCCAGGGAGCCTCTGGGGGCTGCTGGTGAGGGCGGCTCGCAGTGTCGGCTCTGCCATCATGTTCCTTGATGGGTAAAACAAAGTGAACTGCAGTGTTTTCTTTGCTTTCTCGTTACAAGGAACAAATAGCGAAGGATTTGCTCTCTGGGGAAGAACAGGAGGAGACGCAGTCCTCAGCTGATGACCTCACCCCATCTGTCACCTCCCATGAGGCCTCTGACCTCTTCCCTGGTCAGAATGGACGTAGGTGCCCCGTCCTCTTCTTGACACCCACTCAGGGGCCTCAGGCTGGTGTGAGCGGACTCAGGTGGGGTACAGGGCCCTGGCCGGCGATCTTTCCTCTGTGCTGGCCTGGGGGCTGAGACTGGAGGGTGGGCTGGGTCTGCACATGGTGGGACAGCCTCCCCAGACTCTCCAGCCCCACCATTGTTCTGGCAGCAGAATGGAGAGACCCCTTCCTCGTGGGTGGTCTTGGGCCTGTGTCCGAGGGGTGGGTCGCAAGGTGGGGGTGTCACCAGAAGGGGCCAGTGGCCTGCAGCAGGGAGAGGGCCGGGTCCTTGCAGCAGGTGCTTGCACCTCACACCCCACTCTCCCCAAAGCCCGTTTCCTGGCTGGCGAGGACAAAGAGCCGGGCTCCCTGGCCTCCTCTGACACCGAGGAGGACTCTCTTCCTGCCAACAAGTGTAAGAAGGTGCGTGGCCTGGCCATCCCAATCCCTGGGAGCCCAGCTGGTGCCCCAGAGCCCTTGACTGGCCTGTGCCCCTTCTCTGAGGAAGGAATGGCGCGGGCTGGGCTCCTGCAGCTGCCCTGGAGTCTGTTCTTTTCCAGTACTCTGGCCTGGCACCCTGTTCAGCACATTGGGTTTCTCCACCCACACTCAGGCCTCTGCCTCCCACCCAGAGCCTGCAGAACTGGGTGTTAGTGGGTGGGTGTGGGCGGTGGCCCTCTGCCCGGGGCCGCCTGACCCCGGCCTCGCCTCTGCAGGAGATCATGGTGGGGCCTCAGTTCCAAGCTGACCTGAGCAACCTGCACTTGAGCTGGCACGGCGAGAAGAGTAAGTGCCGGGAGCAGCGGGAGGCCGAGCTTGCTGGGGTTGGGAGCTCGGAGGCTCACTTGGCGATCTGTGGTCCTGTCCCGTAGTGCTCTGTCCCTCCAGCACGTGCACAGCACCACCTGGCCCTGTGCGGGGTCCTCTCCAGCCGCCCCGCCCCATCTGTGATCCTCCCTCCTCTGCCCTGCTCCCCGCCTGTGGCTTTTTTACTCCTCGGGCCTGGACTCTCCTGGCTCAGCCCACAGGCGGACATCCTGGCAGAGCTTTTGCCCTTGCCCTGTTGTTCCTGGTCCCTGTGCCCCACTGTTTCTCTGCAGGGCACTCACTGTTCGTGGATGCGATAGTGTCTGTCCCTGCCCCTCTTGTGTTGAGATGTGGGGTCACTTGGCCACTGCCTGGCTGTCCCTGCCCCTCTTGTGTTGAGATGTGGGGTCACTTGGCCACTGCCTGGCTCCTGTCTGCTTGCCCTGGAACCCTGCAGGCCTGGGCTGCTTCTGGCCCCCGGGAGTCGGCAGCAGGGTTATGGAGGGAGAGGACAGATACCTGGTGCTGTGGGCTGAGAGAGGTGGACACCCTCCCAGGACCTCAGATTTAGGTGTGGTCGCATGGGGTGCGTGACTCAGTTGTGGTCCAGGAAGACCTCAGGCCTGGCCAGAGAGGGCCCAGGGACTCCCCGTGAGAGGGGCACTGTGCCACCTCCGCTGTGCCTGCAGGGTGGCCCTCATGCTCTGGGCTCTTCTTGCCCGTGCAGGGCAGAGCCGGGGCTGCTCGCATGGCAGGCCTGCCTCAGCCTTTCTGCCTGCTGGGTGTGTCCTGCGTGCTGCTGCAGCATGTTCCTCACGCGCTCGTCTGTGCTCAGCGTCACGAGGCCCCCAGTTGTGTGTGGACCTGTGTGCCGGTGCCTGGTGAGAGTGGGTGCCCCGTGGTGGGCAGGCTCTGCCTAGTTCCTGCAGTGCTTATGGGACAGGCCTGTCCCCACGTCGTCATCAGCACAGGCATCATCTGTCAGGCTGAGCCCTCCTCTTGAGGCTTTAGTGTCTCGTCCTCGGTGGGTAGTGTCTGGGTCACTCGGATGCTCTCTGTGGCACCCTGTACAGGGCTGCCCTGAGTCCAGCTTGAATGCTGTCCTGGGTTGGCTGTGCCCACCGTGCTGTTTCTCCAGTTCGGGGCTCTCATGAGGTTTCACCTCTTGACAGAGAATGAGTCGGTCTGTCTCTAAGGGGCGCAAGTGTGACGGGACCCAGTGTGCTCTGCAGCCTGGCTGCTTCCGGTACCCTGGATGGCTGGGTGCCCAGAGGTGAGGCCCAGGCCCTGGATGTCTGATGCCCTGTGGGAGACTCCTTCCTGGCCCAGAAGCGATGATGCTTCCCAAGGTCTCGGGTGTGGTTTCCTTTCCCACTCGGCTCCTCCGTGTTGACAGTGTGGTCTTCAGGGCACTTCCTGTATCTCATTTGGCCTCTTATTTGTGTAATACAGAAGAGTTTTTATATATTGCATTTTCTACTTGTTCTTGGTAATAGAAATGCATCTTATTCCTTTAATTTCATGGTAATTGTGATAAATAACTGATTTCAATATGAAAATTCTTTGGCATTTTCCTGTGTACCTCGTCATGTCCTTTGCAAGGGCATCCTGGCTTCTTTCTTTTGTTTTTGTTTTTGTTTTTTTGAGATAGGGTCTCACTATGTAGTTGAGACTGACCTGGAACTCACTATGTAGCCCAGGCTGGTCTCAAACTCCCAGCGATCCTCCTGCCTCAGCCTCCTGAGTGCTGGGATTACAAGTGTGTGCCACCAGGCCCAGCTTCCTGACTTTTTTTTTTTTTTGGTACTGGGGATTGAACTCTGGTCCTTGCGCTTGCAAGGCAGGCGCCAGAACCACTGAGCTAAATCCCCAGCCCCCTGGCTTCTTTCTTAATGGTCTCTGTAGCTTTCTTTTCTTGGTCCTTGCAAGTACAAGGGGTGTACGAGGAGCAGAGGATGCCCTTGGCCCTTGGCCGGCTCAGGAACTGTGAAGTGTGCTGTCGTCTGTAGGAGTTCTGTTGTCTGTCCTGTTGCTAGTGCTCCTGTTTCACACCAGGGACTGAGATTTGTCCCACGGCGTCTGCTGCCTTGCTTTGGCTGCTCTCTGTCCGTGTTGATGTGTGACGTCGCTGTGGCCGACCGGCGGCACTGCCCATCTTGTGTGTGTGGGGACCGCTGTCCAAGCCGGAGGCACACTTCGATGTGACTGAGTTGGTGGTGCCTACTTGGGAGCCTGAACCCTGTGTGTCCCCTAGGGGTGGCAACAGAGCAGTTGGTCACTAATTCAGTGCCTGCAGGGGTCTGATTTGCTCGTGTTGGTGGTTGGCGCAGCCTGTTCTTGGAGACCCCGCCTGCAGTTTGTTTTGCCCCTGTACAGGTTTGGTGCAGGATTATCCCACTGTAGTGCAGTGTGTTTGCAAGTGAAGCTGTTCTTTTGAGACAGGGCCTTCTGTGTACTTCAGGCTGGCCTTGAACTGTGTAGTCCAGTCTGCCCTCAAACTTGTGATTCTCCTGCCTCGGCCTCCTGAGTACGAGGATTACAGGTGTGCACCACCAAGCCCAGCTTTGTTTTACTTTGTAGAGGGTTTAATGCCAGGTGTAGTTGGTAGGTCAGTTTGGTATGTCTGTTCAGAGTTTCTTTCTTGACAGCTATATATATAAATTTTTTTTTTTTTTTTTTTTTTGTCCGGGGGAAAAAACGTGCGAATGCGAGATAAATCCCTGGCTCGGTTGACAGTTGTATTTTGAGGCAGTGCTCGCGTTGGTAGCATCTAGTTGTTGGGCCCGCTCCTCTTGTCTTCCTCACGTCCTTGGGGTCCGCAGTGACTCCTGATGTGGTAGTTTGCCTTTTCTCCTGTTTTGTCTGTCTTGGTCATTCTTTGGTTTCTTATTTATTTATTGAGACGGTGTTGCTTTGTAGTTGTGGCTGGCCTCAAACTCTTGGTGATTCTCCTTCCTCGGCCTGTTGAGTGCTGGGATTACAGGCGTCCAGTGCCATGCCTGGCTTGCTCGTGCTGTAGTTCATCTACAGAGGATTAATTTTAGGCTTCTTGAATTTTCCTTGTGGCTTGATTTCTACATAACTGATTTTTGTACTTTCGGCTTTATTTTCTTCTACTTTTTTCCATTTCATTTGACATTTTTTAGTTCCCCTTGTGATTTCTCTTTGTGTGAATGTGTGATTTTTTTTTTTTAAACGTGAGTTTTTCTTTTTCTTTCTTTCTTTTTTGGGGGGGTACCAGGGATCAAACTCAGGACCTTGCACTTGTGAGGCAGGCAGTGCCACCACTGAGCTAAATTGCGAGTCCTGTGTTTAAATCCTAAACACTGGGAGCTGGACGTGGTTGTATGTGGCTGTAATCCCAGCGCTCAGGAGGCTGAGGCGGGAGGATCAGCATGAGTTCGAGGCCACAGAGTGAGACTGTCTCAAAAAAAAAATCCCAAACACTGGGAATCTGGGCAGCTGTTGGATAGAGGTTTGCTCTCAGATCAGCGAGGTTAGTTGCTGTTCACTCCATCTGTCTTGCTGCCTCTTGTGGCCTCGTGCCACGTTAGTTCCCGGGAGTGACCCTTGCTTGCCCCCTGTGCCGTGGCCTTCTGTTTCCCCTTTCTTTGTGTTTGGGGTGCTGCTCTTAGACCATGTGTGCTGCTGGGTGTGCAGTGTTCTCATCCCTGCAAGCCCTCCTGGGAGCAGCATTGCAAACTCAGCATACTCTCTGTGAAGGACACGATTCCCACCTGGCTTTCTGTTCAGTGTAATAGTCTTTGTAGTGTGCTTAATCTGTTTTATTTGCGTTTTTTTTGTTTTTGAGACAGGGTCTCACTGTGTAGTTGAGACCGACCTGGAACTCACTATGTAGCCCAGGCTGGTTTGGATCCTCCTGCCTCAGCCTCCCGAGTGCTGGGGTTACAGGCGTGCGCCACCATGCCGGCTATTATTCGCATTTTTTGATTACTTACACAAGCCAGTTTTTTCATTCAGAAAATACTGGGGTTAGGTCTACCATCTTACTGTTTGCTTCTTGTTTATTTTTTTCTTGTCTCTTAAACAGTTTTGGTCTTCTGTGTGCCCAAGCGGGCTGATGCCGTGTTGCCCAGGCTGGTGTCCACTTGTGGGCTCAAGCGATCATCCATCCGGCCTCCTGAGGAGCTTGGGGTGCAGGCGCCTCCTGTCACAATCATCCATTGTCCATTTTTGAATAAGCACATCGTTTTACCCTGTCTTGGCCCAGTTTCAACTTTTCATTACTCTTCGAATTTTTATTCTGGAGGCTCCCGCATGGATGCGGTTTGTCTGCACACACACCTCTGTTTCCTGACTCAGCACGCTGCCCTGCCCTCTCAGGAGCCCCCCTCTGTGTGAGTGAGGGGACCCTGACCCGTGGCTGCTGGGCCCAGTGAGGCCCACTCCTTCTGCCGGTCTTCTGGGCAGGCCTCTTCCAGCCTGGTCTGGACCGTCTTTACTTCGCCTGCCTTGGGAACAGTTTCCTGTTCTAGGCGAGCAGGTTCTCTCCGTTCCCGTACGCGGTTTGCTGCTCTACCCGCCCCCACCGCGGCCGCCTGTCCCTCCTGTGTAAAGTCGGATGTGACTCCTGCTTCCTTTGAAGTCCTTGACCCTCCCTTTCACTTCCTGTGACACTTTTCCTTTTCTCTTTCTGGAAGCTTTTTGACCGTGACGTACCTGCTCATGCATCTTTGTATTTCCTGTGCACACCCTGAGGTCAGTGGTGGCAACCCTACGGCCCAGTTGCCGCCGTGGGCTGTGTGTTATTGAGAGCTCTAAAAAGGTTCGCCTTCACTGCTTGAATTTCTTGGACCTGTAGGTGGATGACTTCTTTTTTCTCAATCTGAGAATGGAACCCAGGGCCTTACACATACTGGGCGTTTGGTTTACCAGTGAGCCACATTTCCAGCCTTCCTTGGTTCATTTGGCAAGAGGATTTCACTAAGTTGCACGGGGTCGCCTTGAAGTTGAGATCCTGCCTCTGCTTCCCGAGTACTGGGATCGTAGTTGCGTGCCACCTTGCCTTGTGTCATTCGTCAGTTTTGGGGAAATTCTTGGCTGTCACCTCTTCAGATTTTATGTCTGCGCCTTCTGTGGCCTGATCACGTGGCCCTGGGCTGCGGGGTGTCTGACACAGATCCTAAACTAGGTTCTCCTCTGTCTGATTCTGGTGTGTTGTGGTATTGGCTTCTTTTGCTGCTCTTGCCTCGTGCTGGTCCAGGCCACTCTGAGGCTGTCCTGGGGTGGTGACTTCAGCTGAAAGCCTTCAGTTTTGTGTTAAACTCTGTGTTTTTCATCCACACTGTCCTCCCTGTGTCCCTGGTGTGTGATACTGTTGTCATCTGCAGACACCACCTGTGCCTGTGGTCTTCTGCTGCTTCTCACCTTTTCCCACATATCCTTGCTGGTTCCCGGCAGCCGTGCGCAGTGCCCTCTTCCCCGTAGTGGTCCTGCTCTCCGTTGGGACCCCTTCGTCCAGGCAGGCTTCGGTGTGGCCTGGTGGTGGCAGGGGTGGCTGTGCTGTCTGCTGTGTCCTGCAGGGGTCTTGGCAGCCGAGAGGCCTCCCTGTGAGGTTTGGCGGCGCTGGCCCTGTGCTGCAGCAGAGAGCAGTTTTCCTGAGCCTTTCCTGCTGCTCTGCTTTGGTTGGCTGTGTTTTCAGTTCTTGGTTCAATGTTTAGTCTCACAGCTGTCCTGGATTACAGAGAGGCGTAGCCCTGAGCTCTTCCTCCCCCACCAGCTGCACCTGGGGACTTCGGTGTCTCTTCCTTAGTGGGCTGGGTGCCTGGCGGAACCAGCCTTACCCCAGGAGCCCTTGTTACGGCCCCTCCCTCCCCAAAGCTGGCTGCACTGGCCTGTCCTGCTGGAGGCTCCTGTTTCCCTGGCTTTGTTGTCCTGCCACCTCCGAGTGCCCTGCGCTGGCCGTGGTCCTGATCTGTACATGGAGCCGCATGTAGCTGCTGCTGATGGGCCTGGAGCATGGCCGGCTGTGCCCCCCACGTGCCAGCCCTGACTGCACCCTCTCCTGCAGTCTATGAGAACGAGGACCAGCTGCTGTGGGACCCCGGTGCCCTGCCTGAGCGGGAGGTGGAGGAGTTCCTGTACAGGGCTGCCAAGCGCCGGTGGCAGGAGGTGGCCGGCTCCCAGCTCCCAGAGGGGGAGGCTGTGAAGGACAGCGAGCAGGTGGGGCCTGTGCCAGGGCAGGGGAGGGGCCAGTGTGGGTGTGAACGCAGTTAAAGCCCTTGCGAGAACGTGGTGGTGTTCATCCCTGCCCATGTCGCTCTTGGAGGTGTAGATACCTCTGTGCCTCTCACAGGGTGGTGGCGGAGATGCCCCCAGCATCTCTTGGAGTGGTGTGGACACCCTTCCAGATCACTTGTGGTGGTGGCATAGATGTCCCCGAGTCGTTCTGGGGCGGGGGTGCGGATGCCCTACCTGGCTCCTGTGCTCCGAAGGGTGAGCATTGCCCCGCCCCCCAGGCACTGTACGAGCTGGTGAAGTGTAACTTCAACGTGGAGGAGGCGCTGAGGAGGCTGAGGTTCAACGTGAAGGTGATCCGAGGTGAGCCGTGTTCCCGGGCGCCT